GGCACTTGCCTCACTCTCGGACTCTGGCTGATGTCTTATTGATTATTTCGGAACAGTACATTTGTGGGGCGACGGTGTCACAATGTCACAGTGTCTCCGTTTTCTTGAAAACAACTTAATTATCAAAAGAGGATAACATCGATGAAAGTCCGAGTTACAGAATTGGGCAAATGTTTTCATATACATGACTTAATATTCATGTGGTACAATTATAATATGCAACAACTAATAACAATATCATATTACCTACTATGCATAACTATTAACAATATCATATTACCTACTATGCATATACAACAGCACTAGCCCTTTTAATAACTGGAACCAACATAGTTGATCTATACGTGAACATCATAGTTTGTGCAACGTCAACTTACAGCAAGATGAAGCTAAAATAGGTCGTTCTAATGTCTACATTAACTGTACTCAATATGTGAACTGTTATTAATGTTCGTAAGTAAATAGTATGAGACAGTAAGAACGCACACACATTTGTACAAATCATAAAACTATTCTTATTTACAATCTAACCTAAAGTAATCTAATTCAGTTAAACATTTACCTATTATATCTGCATGTACACTTTTACTGCCCACAAAATATCTGTAATTAAATCTGTCATGGGCCTTGAGCCATTGATGATAACTGCAAAACCAATTTTCAAATTTCTGTAGTCGATAATGCCAACAGCACGGTTGCTTGAGGTCATGAAACGAAGTGATGACAATATTAAACCATGATCTTCTGCGCATGCACATTACTAACCTTACCTAATCCAACCTAATATTTCGTAAACAAATCCACACCACCGCCGCCATCATTACAGATGTCGACATGCACTCACTTAAAAACCGCTAAGTGGCTCGACAAAAGCTCATGACGTTTTGTTGCATATGCACACATTCTAACTACTTATTTGTTAACGAAGGTTGGTACCCTCTCATAGTGTGATTTAGTTATTTTATTGGAGCCGTAGCGTGTATCTATACAAAGGAGTAGTGTATTGTACAATGTCATGGAAACATTCTTGTAATTTCAAATTATTTGTTATTTGTATACTATGTCTTACCTGAATACTGCTGCTGTTGTCTGTTGAAATTGGATGTCTCGTTACGCCGCATTCCTGAGCACGTGGTATTGCGTTCTGCGTGTTCCAGTTACGTGTGACGAGGAAGGATGTGAGTACGGTCAAGTGCTGCTATCTATATGGATAATTCTGATGGATTATTTTTAAGATTAGGTACATACATATGAAACTAATTAATAACACACTGGGATGTTAACTACAAAAATAAAAAGAATATTATGAATTACATTTGTTGTTATCCTATATAAGCCTTTTTTCAGAATCAACTTTTAAGCAAGGAACATGGGCCTACTATTAAACCAGTTTTCATAGGGTCCGTGGGTGACTGTCGTTATATTTTAAAATAACGATAAACTGCAAGCAGGTCGAAAGTCGGCAGTTTCTACGTTTTCAGAATCGCTTAACAAAATTATCATGGCAATGACACAACAGACATATTAAGACCTACAAACATCATCCCATAAAGTATAAAACCACTTAGCAGCGTTGCCGTGGCAATTGCTATAATAACAGTATGCATCAGCGTGACAGACATCGCTCATGATATTACACCTACATTACACGCTTGCGCCATATAACACCCAACAACACAGTTCTCACCAGCTTGTTCTGCTCCCTTTCTTGACACATTGAATTTTCTTTGGCAGCCAACTCCTTTCAACCTCACCTCAAAAATCTTCAATCCACGCTGCCATATGGCTTCTGCAGACGTCGATTGCTTGATGAGATTCCAGGTACATCCCACCTCCAACTTCATTCAAACTTTTGAACCGTGGTTGCGACTGGGTACCATAGCAACGGGTTTCCGTTCACAAATCAACTTCTGGGCAAATGGAACGTCTCTTATCGGAAACAGAACAAAAAATAACTTTCATTGTTACTAAATTCTGTATTATAGGAACTTGCTTTGACTTTACCTGTATTTGAAAGTATTCATGATAAAATGTATTCCTAGGAACAAGCGAGGTTTGTGGTGAATTATCTAATATTATCCCTTCTTCCTGTCGTCCTTTATTCTTTTCTCTTTCATTTTTCAACCTTCCCTTTACTTGCCTTTCTTTTCTTTCAAGAACAAGCCTCTTTTATCCTTCTTATGCGTTCTTCGCACGAAGTGCATAACAAAATTGGTAGCCTGGATAACTCAGTCAGTATAGTGACTAGCTACGGGTGGAAGACTGGGGTTCGATCCCCGAAGGGGGCAGAGGATTCTTCCTCTAGCCTCTGCGTCCAAACCTGCTCTGGGGCCCACCCAGTCTCCTGTCCAACGGGTACCGGGGTCCTCTCCCGGAGGTAAAGCGCGGCCGGGGCGTGATGCTGACAATTCACCCCATCTCGTGCCGTGGTCGAGAATGAGTAAAAGCTATACCACGTCTTCCCTCAAGCGACTACATGGCGTGCGGC